GGTCCACACATCCCCCTGCACCGTGACTTCACACTTGGGGACATCAGAACCTCCCTCTCCGTGTCTGGGGGACCCCCAGCCTGGTGCCCACCTGTCCCGGGGGTCCCCCCAGCCCGGGCTCCCCCCCAGAGCCGGGAACCCCTCGGGGCCCCTGAGGCTCTGCCGCATCAAAGGCTGCGGGATGACGCTGCCACCACCCGAAATATCCCGCGGAGCCGATAGTGGAAAAGATGATGTTTGGACTCAGAGGAGGGGGGGAAAAACACCCTGGGGGCCCCCGCTGCCCGCGCCAAGGTCAAAACACAGCCCAGCGTGGAGAATAAAATACCAAAAGGCAAGGAAAACGCCTGGAAAGGAACACAGCCCGAAATAACCCTCCGAGCATCTCCCGCCTGCCGGGTTATCTGCCTGCTAAATTCTGCTCCTGCTTCAGCATGAAAATAGCCTGTTTTCCTGCGGTAGGAGTCAGGAATATAGATAATGACATTCTTATAAGTCACCTCTGTTACTCAGCTTTTCCTGTGTGTCCTGCTGGGCACCTCGGGCAGCCGCGACCCCCCGGTGGACAGGGGCACCCTGGGCACGGGGCACAGACCTCCCCGGCTTGGACAAATATTCCTGGGTGCTGGAAATAGCTGCAGGGCCAGGGCCAGCAGCAGGGCCAGGGAGAGGGCGGTCCCGTCCTGCAGCAGGCTGTCACATCTGGGAAGCCGGGGAACAGCTGGATCGTGGCCACGAGCTGGGCCTGATGAGGGCTGGGACAAGCCTGTGCAGGGGTGGGGTGCAGGGGGGCTCTGCCTGGGGGTGTGGGACAGAGAGACAGGACAGAGGGACAGCAGTGCTTCCAGGACAGAGGAAAGATGCCATTCCCAGAAGTGTGGAACACCGGGACAGGGCAGAGCTCAGCAGTGCAGGACAGAGGGACAGAGCCATGCCCAGGGGTGCAGGACAGTGGGATGGTGACATTCCCCAAAGTGCAGGACAGAATGATAGGACAATGCCCAAAGTTTCTGGACAGAGGGACAGGATGGCACAGAGAGATGCAGAACAGAGCCGTGCCTAGAGGTGTGGGACAGAGGGATGGTGTCATTCCCAGAATGCAGACAGAGGGACAGGACAGTGCCCAGAGGTGCAGGACGGAGGAATTGTGTCATTGGCAGAGGTGTGGGGCAGGAGGACTCTGTCATTTCCAGAAATGCAGGACAGAAGGACGGGACAGTATCCAGAGGTGCAGGGCAGACAGAGCTGTGCCCACCTGCCCAGACCCTCAGGTGGCCCCATCCCACCTGCGGCACCATCCCCGTCCCCTCCCATCCCCTCCCATCCCCTCCCATCCCATCCCCTGTCACCATCGCCAGCGGCACAGCCCCGTCCCGGCTCCCCTCGCCTCCGGTGGATGCGGACCCACGTCCCGCCAGCTCCCGGCTTGTCCGGCCGCCCCCTCCCATCCGCCGCATTCCTCCGGCGCGGGGCCAACGCGCCCAGCAACGGTGGCAGCGCTGGCCTCTAATCCCCGGGCATGCCAGCCCCGGGGGGACCGTCGCCGTCACCCACTCCCTGATAGGTGACCAATGCCCGAGACGAACAATTAGGGACAAAGCGGAGCCGCCGGGGGCTAACGCCGTCCTTCACGGGTGCCTTGTGCGGCATTCGGCGGGTTTAATGAATTGTCCATCAATCCTTTCAGCTCCGCTCGCCCGGGCTGGATTAATCTGAGAAGCCGCAGTGGGGAAGGAGCCGCTAAGCCTGTATTTATTACTCTGCCATTGTAACTAATTGAGGTAATTATCTGTGACTCCAACCCCGCGCAACAATGCCGCATTCACCGGACCCTTCCCACCGGCTCCTCGCGCGGCCTGGGAGAGCGGCACCGCGGGCAGGAGCGCCGGGACGCGGGGACACGCTGGGGACGGGGATGGGGACGGGATGGGATGGGATGGGATGGGATGGGGATGGGATGGGATGGGATGGGATGGGATGGGATGGGATGGGATGGGATGGGATGGGATGGGATGGGATGGGATGGGATGGGATGGGATGGGATGGGATGGGATGGGATGGGGATGGGATGGGATGGGATGGGATGGGATGGGATGGGATGGGATGGGATGGGATGGGATGGGATGGGAATGGGGATGGGGATGGGATGGGATGGGGATGGGATGGGGATGGGATGGGATGGGGATGGGGACGGGGATGGGGATGGGATGGGGATGGGATGGGGATGGGATGGGAATGGGATGGGATGGGATGGGGACGGGGATGGGGATGGGATGGGGATGGGATGGGATGGGATGGGGATGGGGATGGGGATGGGGATGGGGATGGTCAGGAATGTGGCGTGGCCGGCACCGGGTGCAACCAGGTGACACCGCGCTGTGGGGACACGGACAGTACCACTGGCACGTGTGGGTTGTGGCACGGCCAGTGCCAGCTGCACGTGCGGGTCACGGCTCTGCGGGGACACTGCCAACAGCAGCACATACATGGACGCAAATCTCTGGGAACACCATTGTCACCAGCGACACACGAAGGTCACCAACAGCACTGGCACACGCATGGATGTGGCTCCTTTGGGACGCTGCCAACACCAGTGACACATGAGACACGGCTCTCTGGGGACGCCAGTCACCACCAGTGACACACACGGGTCGCGGCTGTCTGGGGACAGCACACACACGGGCACAGGTCTGTGGTGACATCGCTGTCACAAGTGACACACAAGGGTCCTGGCTCTCAGACACCAGCAGCACCCACGGCACATGTGGGTCACGGCTCTCTGGGAGCACAGCCAGAGCTGGCACATCTCGGACCCTCCTCCGGGGACACCCCCGTCACCAGTGACACACGAGGGTCACGGCTCCCGGTGACACACAGGACTGCCGTGGCTCTCAGACAGCACCGGCGCGGATGTCACGCGTGGCTGACGGCTCTCTGGGGACACAGCTCCGCTCCCGGGACAGCCAGGACCCCCGCTGCCCCCCGCTGCCCCCCGCTGCCCCCCGGTGCCCTCCGGTGCCTCCCGGTGCGACCGGTCACCGGCTGCGCGGCGACATCTGCCGGCCACAGGCGACAACGCGTCCCTCTCCGGGGGCTCCGGTACCGGGCGGGGCGCCCCGGTCCCACGCGTTGGCACCGCCACGGGCTGAGCCCCCCCGGCCCCGGGGGCACCCCGGGCTGCGGCGGGTTTCGGGGGCCGGCGGGTGCCCCGGGGGTGCCGGGGGAAGGCGCTGGCGCCGGCGCAGCCCGAATTAGAAGGTGATTTTCCCGGCGGGGAGCGGGTTTGGGCAGGAGCGGATCCCACGGGAAGGGCCGCGCCGCTGCCCCCGCGTCTGGGACACCCCGCGCCACGCCGGGCACCGCGCCGAGCCGAGGCATGACGGGCTGGCCTGGGCTGTGCCAGGCTGTGCTGAGCCATGCCGGGCTGTACCAGCCTGTGCCAGGCTGTGCTGAGCCATGCCGGGCTGTACCAGCCTGTGCCAGGCTGTGCTGAGCCATGCCGGGCTGTACCAGCCTGCGTCAAGCTGTGTTAGTTTGTGTTGAGCCATGCCGGGCTGTGCCAGCCTGTGCAGGCTGTGCTGAGCCATGCCGGGCTGTACCAGCCTGTGCCAAGTTGTGTTAGTTTGTGTTGAGCCATGCCGGGCTGCACCAGCCTGTGCCAGGCTGTGCTGAGCCATGCCGGGCTATACCAGCCTGCGTCAAGCTGTGTTAGTTTGTGTAGAGCCGTGCCGGGCTGTACCAGCCGGTGCCAAGCCGTGCCAAGTTGCAAAGAGCCGTTCTGGGTTGTTCCAGGCTTTGTGAAGCTGTGCTGGCCATGCGGTGCTGTCTTGTGCCAAACTGAACCGTGCCACGCTGTGCTAAGTTGTGCCAAGTTGTGCCCAGCTGTGATGAGGTATGCCAAACAGGCTGTGCCAAGTGTTCTGGGCTTTGCCGAGCCACGCTGAGCTGTGCTGAGCTGTGCCAGGTGGCATCAGGCTGTGCCAAGCTGTGCCAGGCTGCACTGAGCTGTTCTGAGCTTTGCTGGGCTGTCCTTTGCCATGCAAAGCCGTGTCAAAGCTGCTGAGTTGTGCTTGGCTTTTCTGGCCTTTGCCAAGCCATGCCAGGCTGCTGTGCCAACCAGAACTGTGCCAAGCTGTGCCAAAACGTGCTGGGTCATACCAAGCCATGTTCCAAACCGTGCCAGGCTGTGCAGACTGCATCATGCCACGACAATCCGTGACAAGGCACGTGGCTCATACCACACCTTGCCAACCATCCTATGCCATGCCAGGCCGTGCCAAGCCGTGCCAGGTGCCACCGTACCGGGTGCAGGACCGCAGCCGTGCCACGGTGGGCTGCAGTCGCCGTTGTGGCTCAGGCCAGACCCAGGTATGGGACTTGGCTGCCATCCTGGCCACGCGCCAGGACAGGGGACACATGGGGTGACGTGGCCCTGGGGGTGCCCCCCCAGCCTACCGGGTGGCCTCGCTGCGGCAGCTGCCCCGTGCCGTGACCTCCGGGCCGGTGTCACCGGGATAATGACAGGGTCGCACAGGGGGGCGGGGGAGGAGCCGGTTTTAAATAACGTGCAAATTGGACACGATATTTGTGCGGTTTCCTGGGGCCGCGGGGATCCTCCCCCCCCCCCGCAGCTGACTAAGAGGTGGCGGCTGTTTGGGGGGGACAGATCCCCCCCGGTGAGTCACACGGGGTCCCCCCCCGGCCGTGACGTGGGGTGGGTGGCCGTGGGCCAGACCTGCTGCTCTCACCTACTCATTATGGGGCATACGGGGGGAGCTGGCACGTCCTGCCCGTGCTGTGACGCACTGGGGTGGCCGCCGGGACACCCGGGACCTCCGAGTGACCCCGGCAAGACACCGGGGGAGGGGGTCCAGACACCGGGAGTGTCATGGGGGAGTGCCCGGACACCTGTGTCCTTACTGGGGGTCACAGAGAGGCCTGAGGGGTGCTGCCCCCCCTGCCCCCCCCGACCTCACACAAACAGGGGCAGAGGCAGCACACCGGGATCGCGGAGCTTTTATTGGGGTCAGCCCGTGGGAACTGCGGTCCTGAGCCCCGCCCCCGAGGTGCCACACCCCGGCAAGCCCCGCCCCTGTGGACCACACCCCGCCAAGCCCCGCCCCGAGGTGCCACACCCCACCAAGCCCCATCGCTCAGGCCGGGGTGGGGCTGGCGGGGCCCGGGGCGGCTCCGGTGCTCTCCAGGCTGCTGCTGCTGCTGCTGTAGGCGCGGGGGTCTCGGCAGAGCCGCTGCCGGGACCCCCCCACGCTGCCCTCGGCATCCGAGTCCGAGTCGGGCGCCGTGTGCCGGCGGATGCGGGACACGGCTTCGCGCAGCGCTTGGGCGTACAGCACCGGCCGCCGCCCGCGGCCACCCCGGCAGCCCCCCGGGCTCTGCCCCGGGCCGCCGGAGGGCTGCCGGGGGGGCGAGGGAGCGGCAGAGGGGCTGCCAACCCCGGAGGGCACGGAGGGACTGCGAGGAGGGGTGCCAGGCCCCAGGGAGCCCCTGGCATAGCGGACCTGCTGTCGCTGCGGGGGTGGCACGTACTGGGCCCGGACCACCACGCGGGTGGCGTCGATGAGGACGTGTCCCCCCGTGCCCCGCTGCCCCCTCCCGCGCCCCGGCAGCCGCTCCCGGCCGGTTGCTGCCCGCGGCAGCGTCTGGCAGTGCCGGGGGGTGCCGGGCCCTCCTGGGGACAGCCGGTGCTTGGCCTCGGTGGCCGCCCGGGGCAGTGTGTGGCTCCAGCCCCCCGGTACAGCCCTCCGGGCCCGCGGTGCCGGCGGGGGGCTGCGGGGTCCCCGCGGGGGCCGGAGCTGCAGGGTGCGGTGGGGACCGTCATAGGCGGGGGGTGCGATGTAAGGGGGGGGTGCCCCACGGCGGGCGTGGGCTGCCTGCACCCGCTGCATGTGCACCTCGTAGGTGGGGGGGCCCAGCTTGTCCCCCGACACCGGGGGCCGAGGCGCGGGCACAGGGTGTCCCCCCAGGGTCCGCTGCCCCCTGGCCCCTCGAGCTGTCGCGGGGGGCAGGGGGTGGGGGGTACCCGGGGCCGGGCGGTGAAGTCCTGCAGGCGACAAGGGGGGTTGGAGGGCACTGGGGGCCAGGGGGGGGCCAGCTCGGCCACAAAGCGCTTCTCCAGGTACCTGCAAGACAGAGACGGGGAGTGAGGGGAGCGAGGGAGGGGAGCAGGACAGACCCCCACCCCCCACCCCGCGGACCCCACTCACGCGTACTCCCCGGCGATGCGGCGGTAGGTCCAGGGGGGCTCGGGCCAGCACCCCGCAGCCATGCCGGTCCCCGGGCTGCAACACGCCACCGTGTCGATCTCCACCAGCACCAGCTTGGTCCGCTCGCAGATCCGCAGGCGCCCCGCACCCCGCTCCGGACCCCCCAGCATTGCCCCGGCCGAGAGGGGGGTCCCCGCCGCGGGGGGCTCACCGGAGCCTCGGCGGAGCCACCAGCCCGCCCACACGCACCCACCTGCCGCTCGTGTGCCCCCACGGACCCCGTGTCCCGCCCGGTGCCACCTCGGCCACGCTGACCCCCGGGCGGCCGGGGGACCGGCGCACCGCGGGGACCCCACCGGCCGTCCCAGGGGTGTCGTGTCGCGCGTGTGTGTGTGTGTTTGTGTCCCCCCCACTCCCCCCGCGGGATCCCTTCCCCCCCTGCGACAAGCAGGCGATGGAGGGTTTGGCACCAAGCGCTGCAGCCCACGCGGGCTCCGAGCGGAGCTTAGCAACCCTCCGCCGGCGGCATGGCAACCGGCACGGCCCCCCCCGCCGGTCCCCCGGTACCTGCCCGGTGCTCACCTCGCTCCGCGGCCTCTGCCGGAGCCCGGGACTGGCACGGACGGGTCCCCGGGCCGGCCGTCCCCTCCCCGCCAGGAATGTGCCTCGCTCAGCACGGCCGGGCCTCGCACCTCCCCTGCGGTCACCGGCTGCAAACTCCGCTGTCCCGGCTGCCTGCGACCCCCGCCGGCCCCCCACGGGACCCCTCAACCTCCCCCAGCCCCTGCCTGACTCCCCCCTGCTCACCTTGGTGCCCACCAGAGGGTCCCCATGTCCTGCCAGGTCCCCGTCTCTGTCCCATCCCCAGTCCTGGCCTTTTAGAAAAGCCACAGGCGTAACAAACAGGGATTTAGGGGCTGGGCGAGCTCAGCAGATTCCCCCTTCCCACGGGGGGCACACCCCCTCCCCACACACCCCCTCCCTGGGCACTGCTCCCCGTGCCCTGCACGGAGCCAGGCTGGTGCCAGGTCTGTGTTTATTTGTGGTTTCTCCTCACACACGAAGCAGTGGCGGTGTGGGCACAGCCGGGGGAACCTGGGGGGAGACCCCCGTGGGCGTGGGGGGGTCCCCAGGCCGGGTGGAGCTGAGTTTCACCAAACCCAGGGAGAGGGTGCAGGGTGACAGGGACGAGAGACCACATGGGAACAGCCCTGGCATGGCTATGGGTGACCCTGGCCTGGCACCCCACAGGGTTTGAGGGCTGCCCCCAATCACCCTCACGGCTTTGGGGTGCTGGGCACGGCATGGGGGGGCTGCCCCCACCCACGGAAGGGCAGCAGGGGCTGCCCCAGGGCTGGGGGTTATTGCTGATGCTGCTGGTGAGCGGAGGCATTCCCTGGGGGTCCCCAGCAGCCCGGGGGGGCACAGTGTTACAGGAGAAGAGAGTGGGGGGGGGCTTGGGAGGACTGAACCCCCCTCCCTCGCTGCCTCAGGGGCCCTGTGGGAGGACCAGGGCTTGCAGGATGTCCGAGAGGGAGACGATCCCTTTAACCACATCACTCTCATCCACCACCACCAGCCGGTGGACCTGGGGAGGGGGAACACAAAGAGGGGCTGAGGGGGTGCAGGGACCCCAGCCAACCCCCCCACGACCCCCCAGCACCCCGGGACAGTTACCTCGGCCTCGACCAGGCGGTTGATGATGGTTTCCAGCGTCTCGTGCTTGTAACACTTGAGGACACCCTCGAAATAGTGGGAGCGGTGCTGCAGCGCCCGCGTCACCGTCACGTCCAGGTTGTTGTAGGTCTTTTCAGCTGCCAGGTTCTGGGGCAGGGACAAGCATTGGGGACACAGCTGGGGTTAGGACACCCCTACCACCCCACAGTGTCCCCCCAGCCTGGGATTTTCCCCCAGCAGTACTCACAATAACATCAAATTTGGAGTAGATGTCCACCACGCGCCCTGGGGAGGGAGGGGAGCAGCTCAGCCAAGCCCCCGGCGCTCAGGAGGGGACACGGCCCCCAGAGAGGTCACTTGGGGACAGCCAAAGCGAGGACAGGACGTCCTTACCCGAGTCATCGACCACGGGCAGCGCGGAGACGCGGTGCTGCACGAAGATGCCCAGGGCCACGTAGATGGGGGTGCTGGTGCCAACCACGGCGATGTTGCTGTAGGTGCCGATCCGCAGCTCCTCCAACGTCCGCGCCATGAACTCAGGCTTGGGCACCTCTGCGATCTGCGGGGACAGTGAGGGGACAGCGCTGAGCCCCGGCCTGCGGGTGAAAGCACAAAGAGTTGGGGTGCAGAGCAGGCGGGGCTGTGGGACCCCCAGTCAGGGGTGGTGGGAGGGTCCACGCTGAGTCCTGGGGCTCCTCTGGCACTGCGGTGTGCGGTGAGGTACCAGAGCTGTGCCCACCCAGAGCTGGTGGGAGCCGGTGTGCAGGACCTGCACAACCCAGGATGGGGGTTTCAGTGACCCCTGGAGCAGCCAAGGGTTCTGGGGCAGCTTTTGGCTCGGCCTGAGATGGGGGTCTCAGGGCAGCCCCTGGCACAGGGACCCGGTACTTTGTACAGCCTGGACTGGGAGTCCCAGGGTAGCACAAGGCTCAAGGACCTGGCACAGCCCAGGCTGAGGGTCTTGGTCTGGCCCCCACCATCAGCAAGGGGCAGAGACTTACAAAGAGCTTGAGGAACTTGAGGATGCGTTTGTGGGTGAGGATGTAGAGCGTGTTCCCTGAGTCGGGGTCGATGACAGGCAGGCGATGGATCTTGTTCCGGATCAGGGAGGAGACGGCGTCAAACAGGCTGTGGGGGGGAAGGGAGGGGGGATTTGGGGTGTTCCTGGGAGTGCCAACCCCAGCTGTGCCCCTCTCCCTGCCCCCCGGGGTACCTGGCATTGGGGGAAATGCAGACCAGTGGCTTGAAGGAGTCTTGCAGATAAACCTCTGTGGGGAGAGGGGTGGGTGAGGGGATGGGGGGATGGGGCACAGCACTGGGGGGCTCCGGGCACGCCGGGAAAGGCGGGAGGCAGCCAGCAGTGAACCCCCTCACCTCTCCACGTCTCTATTTTGTGTTCCTCCAGCTCATAGATCTGCACCTGTGAGGAGGAGAAACCCAGATCACCCACCCGGGGCCAGCTGGGGCAGGCAGAGCCTGACCTGAGCCCCCGCCAGACCCCGGCCCTCACCATGGGGGATTTGTAGTAGCGGTGCAGGATGTTGATGAAGTCGGTGATGGTCAGCATTCCTGGGGGGCAGGCAGGGTGAGGAGAGTCCTGCCAGCCCCCAGAGCCCCCAGAGACCCCTGGACCCCTCGCTCACCTACAAAACTTTGCTTTTTGCTGTCCCAGAGCGGGGCTGCCCGGACACCGTTGGTGACCAGCGCGAAGAACGCCTTCTTCACCTGCAGGCACGGGGGTCAGGGAGCCCCAAAAGTGCCTCCCCGGCCCCAAAAGTGTCCCCCCGGCCCTGGCACACCTGCAGGGATGTGTCGAAGACGACCAGTTTGGAGCTGGTGGGGATCAGGTCGTAGCAGCGATGGGATTTCATGAAGGCGGTGTAGGCACCGCGGTGAGTGTCCCCTGGGGTGGCAGCGTGAGGGGGCACCCCAAAACCTGGAGTACCCCAAAACCCGGGACATCCCCATTCCCAGGACACCCCCAATCCCAGACATCCCCAATCCCGTGACACACCAGTACCCGGGATACCCCAAATCCCGGGACACCGCAAACCTCCAATGCCCCAAGTCCCGTTTCACTCCCAATTCTGGGACACGCAGCTTGGGGCTCCGGGGCACCCCTAACTCCGGGACACCCCTAACTCCGGGACACCCCTAACTCCGGGGCACCCCTAACTTCGGGATATCCCACTCATGGGGCATCCCAAATCCTTCAACACCCAGCTCAGGGCTCCGGGGCACCCCTAACTCCGGGACACCCCTAACTCCGGGATATCCCACTCATGGGGCACCCCAATCCTGCCACACCCGGCTCCGGATACCCCAGACTCCGGGACAGAACCCCCCAGCAGCTGCAGCCCTTGGGACACCCAAACGACCGCGTCACCTCCCGCGCCGGGACCCCCCCGCCTGCCGGGACCCCCCGGCCTCCCTCGGAATCACCTTCCAGCCCCGGGGGGCTCAGCTCCGCCGGGCTCTCGGCGGCCGGGCCCGGGCCGGGGCCGCGGTCAGGCTCGGGGCCGGGATCCTGCGGACAGACGGGGTCGGGTCAGACGTGGCCGCGGTCCCGGTCGCCGACCCCCCGTGTCCCCCCCCGGCCCCTCTGTCCCTCCCACAACCTCCATGGGTCCCGCTCCGTCCCGAGGCGCCGCTGCCCCGGTTCCTGCTCCCGCTTCCGCCCGGTTCCTGTCCCGGTTCCTGCTCCCGCTTCCTCGCGGCTTCCGGCCCCGCTTCCGCCCGGTTCCCGTCCCGGTTTGTGCCCCACTTCCGCCCGGTTCCTGTCCCCGTTTGTGCCCCGCTTCCGCCCGGTTCCTGCCCCAGTTTCCGCCCGGTTCCCGGTCCCGCTTCGGCCCCGTTCTCGGTCCCGCCTCCACCCGGTTCTCGGAACCACTCCGGCTCCGGTCCCGGTTCCGTTCCCGGTCCCGGCCGCCGGGAGCCCTTCCCCTCCCGCCGGGTCACGGGGAAGGTTTTTTTGGGGGGGAGGTCTCCCACGTGTGGGGGGTTTGGGGACACGGCGGGACACACCTGGGGATGGCCCGGGGGACACGGACATGGAGCCCCCGGGAACGGAGGGGGGGGTTGTGACAAACATGGGGGTCCCCGGGACACCGCAAAGCCTCCGATGGGCCAAGTCCCGTTTCACTCCCAATGCAGGGACACCCAGCTCGGGGCTCCGGGACATCCCACTCATGGGGCACCCCAAATCCTTCAACACCCAGCTCGGGGCTCCGGGACACCCCTAACTCCGGGACATCCCCACTCATGGGGCACCCCAAATCCTTCAACACCCAGCTCGGGGCTCCGGGACACCCTTAACTCCGGGATATCCCCAGTCATGGGGCACCCCAAATCCTTCAACACCCAGCTCGGGGCTCCGGGACATCCCCACTCATGGGGCACCCCAAATCCTTCAACACTCAGCTCGGGGCTCCGGGACACCCCTAAATCCGGGATATCCCACTCATGGGGCATCCCAAATCCTGCCACACTCAGCTCGGGGCTCCGGGACACCCCTAAATCCGGGACATCCCTAAATCCGGGACATCCCCACTCATGGGGCACCCCAAATCCTTCAACACTCAGCTCGGGGCTCCGGGACACCCCTAAATCCGGGATATCCCCACTCATGGGGCACCCCAAATCCTTTGGCACCCAGCTCGGGGCTCCGGGACACCCCTAACTCCGGGACACCCCTAAATCCGGGATATCCGCAAAGAAAACCCTGGGTTGCCAGTTGCCAGCTCGGGGTGGCCCAGGGGAGGGTCACTGGTTTTGGGGGGAGGGGGACACGGCCTGGGGGGGTCAGAGACCTTCGCTGGGGGGACACGTGGGGACAGCAAGGAGCCCGTTGTCACCGCTGTGCCCCCCAGACCCCCACCCCGAGCGACCCAAGGAGGGATCGGGCAGCCTCGGCTTCTCACGCGCTTTATTTAAAATAACATCCAGTGGTTCCGGTATTGGTAAAAACGGGATTTCTACACGCCCCGGCCTATGTACAGCTCTGAAAGTTAAATTTCTCGTATATTTTCTGTTAAAACTTTCTCATCCCCCCCCACTCGCGCTTTTCCTCCATTTTTTTTTCTTTTTTAATTTTCTTTTTTTTAAAGATTTTTTACCTTAAACCTTTTTTTTTTTTGTTTTGTTTTTTTCTTTTTGCAGCTTTGACGAGTTTGCGGAAGCAGCTTTTCAAGATCGGCCCCGGCCCCCACTGCACCGGGGCGGGGAGGGGGCACCACCCCCGCCAG